CTTTTCAAGTATATTTTGTTAAAAACTATACAATCATTTAATATCTTACTATATCTATAATGTATATCTAACTTGAAAGTTATAAATGAACACTATTTATTAAAATTATAAGTAAATTATATAAAGATCAGAATTAATCTATACTAAAAATTGACATAATATTTGAGTTTTATAATTAATTTTCTTACTTCTTTTGAAAAGCATATATATTTAAAGTGTTATGTAATTCAAAATAATCAAGCAAAGCTTAAATGAAATATTTTCCTCTTCTTTAATTTTAGGAAATACTTAAATTTATAAATTTGTAATTACAAAAGATTATTTAATTGCTAAGTTGAATATTATAAAACAAAATTAACTTTGAAATCAACTAAAATTAAATTACAAAGTAAATTAATATTTCTTGAACAATATATTCCTAACTTTAAGAGCATAATTACTAACACTAAATGGTGTATGCTTAATTTTCATTAATGTCAATTCCACATAATTGTCCATTTATCGGGTCTCTATATACTAATCTTTGTCAGAAAATAATAATTGGACATCCTTTATCTCCTTATAAAAACTATCTACAATTAAAGCAGATCTGTTATTCAAGTTATAAAAAATTAACTGGTTTTATTTATTTTAGAATTGAATGATGAATTTAATTTTGCTCAGTAAAACAACATATTTGATGTTATATTCACTGTATGGGTAAAAAAATTATATTCCTCATTATGAAAATTAATTTGAAAATCCATTCGTTAACATAAAAGAAATTCAAAACAAAGAATTAAATCAGCATCTATTATAAAGTCCTAAAATACATACTCAATCATCTCTATAAAAACATGAGAAGATAAAATTTTAATATCATTTTCTGGGATTAAATGTTTTATAAATTTTAAGTTGTTTAATTGTAGAGCTGATATTAGAAATTATTTTTCAAATAATATCTATAAATATACTTATCAGCTTGAGAAATAAAATAGGCGCATTGATTCCCCTTAAATTTTATTTTCAGAAATTAACTAAGATATACATCAAATTATATACGTAATTCTTTGACATATATCATATCTATTGTTGAATTTCCTTTAATCGTAATTCGTCATTATATTTGCAAAATAAAGAATACATTTTTTTGTATTTTAATTATCACAAATATAATATATTTGGCAAATTTTATAATTTAGCAATTAACAAAACACTATATTAGAAACCTTATTAATATCCATAATATGAACTCTACAACATTCACCAGGATATTGTAGAAAGGTATATAGCTTTTTAGAGTTATAAATTTAATATCGGAGATGTTATATCAATTTCGTGAATTACTAAACTAAGAAATTCAACTATATATTTTTCTTTTATAATTAAAAAATATCCAATTATTCTTTAGATTGCAAAATACAATTGAAAGGTAATTCACCAGTATATATAAATGTAATGGCGAAATTCCTTTTTAGGAAATTCACTCATTTAAAATTTTTTTATAATTCCAAATGTAATGAAAAAGATACAGCTCAGGGTTCAGGTGAGGTAGCCCTTAATATGAAATCATCACCCACCTATGAAGAATCTTTGCGGCTGAAAGCCTAATTAAGACATTTCTTGGAGAAGGGTAATGTGGAGGATCCAATTGTCAAAACATTATTCGTGTGGGGATCAAGACCAAAGGATGGTGAATCGAGGAAGTGCTCTTAATTAGAAGGATGGTTATCTGATGGTCAGATAAAAGGAAAGGAACTATGTGATGAAAGAGCTCCTAAAAATGAAGATCTATGAATGCTAGATGGTGACTGAAATAGATTGGAGATGGGCCAAATACTCTCTGATGAAGGCCCTTCTAATTGTCACACAGAAATCTTGATTAACAAACAAGAAGAGGAAAAAATATTTTTAAATGGTACTAACACTGATCAATTATAAGGTCGTTTTACACAGATGGGACTAGTTTCCAAACATTGAACTGATAGTAACGATGGGGTAAGAGGGTAAGTGTTGAAGAGGACCTTCCATTTTAATAAAGGATGACATGGCTATATACCACCATGTTATTTTAGATAGGAATTAAATTGAATGGAAGTCTATTATAATGATAAGAATCAGATCAGATACATTTCATCGAATAAGATTGGTCTACGTATATGAGCATCGCCATAGGTAGAATAAAGTAAATGAAAACTAAGGAAAAAAAGTCTAATTGAAGTAACTCAATAGAGAGATAGCTCATAGCTAAGGAATATGTTCGATACTTTAGAAAAGCAAAAGATAGAGAAACCCGAAAGAAGATAATAGAAGAGAAGATGTCAGATTAAGAGTCCCAAAGAGGTTCAGAGATAGAAAGAACTCTTCATTTAATAAATTGAGGATGCCTTGAACTTGACACAGTCAGTTGATGAGAAATTGGGCGATTTTCTCCTCCAGCGAAGGGTATTTCCAAATTAGTTGGTCGGGTGTTCTGAATTGTATTGAGCGAATGGCTACCTTTCATTGTTTATGAAGCTTAACTCTGAAATCATCTAATCATAAAATAAGAAAGACTAGAATGAATTAGCTAAAATGTGAGATAATACAGTAGATAGAATTTATAAAGGTGAGAATGATGGACAAATTGAAGGATTTAAGGTTTAGCGAATGCTGTATATGACACATCAGATATGATTGTGTTCATCTCTCCTTCAAGGCAATATAAACTGATTTAATTAAGGATCCATGCTTACAATAGAATCGATAGATATTCACCGAACCTAATTAAAAAATGAATAAGATATTACAATGTTTCAATCAGAATTCTGAGACATCATGGCATTACCTGATGATTTGCCTATTTTGAGCCATCCTAATGGATGCATAAAATTATTTATGTATTGGTTAATCTCCAAAACTGGAAATTCAAGGGAGATAAAATGGACCTTTTTATTTCAGAAATTGATTTATTATATTTTAATAATAATTTCTGGTATCGGCCATATTAGATTTGAGTATTCCTAAATTTCCGATGACACTGAAAGATGCATCAGATGGTAGAGTGCTTGGAAACAAGTAACCAAGATCTAAGGTTTTGTTATTTAAAATCTATCCATTTTAATTAAAAAAAATTAGAAATAATTCATAAGTATTCAATTTTCTAAAAAACTAATATTTTGATAAGGTAATTTCTGGCAAATGGACTACTAATTCATTTTTATTATCAAAGTAATTCAAAACAATTTAATCATTTTAGGAAATGCAAACTTAATTTTAGAAAGGGTATAAGCAAGAATATTAGCCTGTTATAATTAATGGATTTAATTATATTGCCGATCTATTTAAATTAAAGTATACAAGTAAATGAAAACTGCCAAAAATATTTTTTACCTCTAGAGTAAATTTTGATATTGTTTTTATACAAAATAGACTTGTTTGAGTATGTTAAAAAAGAATAACTGAACCTATTTGATGTGTCACCCTTAATTATAAATAAGTTATTATGGATAGTAAAAGTATAATGATTTTCTGTAAAGTTGAAGATAGTAATTTCTTCTTTAAAGAAAAAATATAATTTTACAAAAATCGATGCCGATTAAACAAAGTCTTTCTAACATATGATGTAAATATTTTGGCACTAAATAGAGATTGTTCGAATTTAGGTAAAGACCCTTAAGCATCAATAAATTATTATTAAAAAAACTAATTAGAAATTTTGAATTTGCAATCAATCAGGTCTTATCTTAAAAGACAAATATATCAATTTTTATTAAATCATTTGAGATCTAATTCAATTGCTATTATAATTCATGTGTTTCTGAATTTAAATTAACATAATAGGTATCATAAGATTGTAAAATTACACTTTTCTTTGGAAGGTATAAATATTCATTAGGAGTCAAGTAGATTTCTTCAATCGCTAGAATTAAGAAATTTTGAAGATCTATTATTTATACAATCATATTTAATTATATTGTTTATGGAACTTGATTTTTAAAACAATTTAATAAATAGCTCTCTTAAGTATACAATAATGATAAATGTATAATATAAAATAAATGAATAATAAAATACAATTATTTGTTAATTTTAAACTTTTAGAATTAGTCATGTCTGAAATTTAAGAATTACCCTTTTCATACATTAATTTTGCCAAAAATATCAATTTTATTGAAACAATAAATAGTTTGTAAAATACATGCAATTATTTTGTTTAATGTTATTTAGAAAATAATAATAAGATTTAAAATGTCTTGAAGATATCTCAACTAATAATAACTGAAATGATTATTATAATAATAATCTAAATTTATGTCTAATAGTTTGAAATTTCTGAATTCGAGCAATGACCATTTCCTGGCCATTCAACACCATCCATGTATAAATTATCGTCGTATTTTTAATTAGAATTAAACCATTTATATAATGTGTTAGAAAGTGTGTTTCCTGATTATCCTGGTACTTCCCAATCAGAAGAATCATAGCGTGGTGTTAATAAAAAACAATGTTCTAAACAACTAGGGGCAAATCCACCTGTTTCTTAAAAATTTTACTTTCTTTTCATTATAACATCATAAGTTTTTGAATATAGAGTTTATGAAAAATCTTATTGATCTTAAGAACAATAAGTTAGATTATAATTATCAGAACAATCAACTTTAAACAACTAGCTCAAACTATAATAATCATATAATGATTAAACAATAAATACAGGAGTTTTTATGTACTCCAACAAGTATTATGCATAATAACATTTCCATTCCTATTGCTGATTATTCTTAACACATTCGCTATTTGGATGAGTAACCTCAGAATTCACTAATTCCATTAGTAAACTTAGAGATTGCTTTTGATTATCTGTTCCATCTATAGCTGGCATATCAATGAAAATGCCTGAATCTGGAACTCCATAAACAACCACGTTGGCTGACAATTTAGATCTTATATAATCAACCCAGAAATAGGCCGCTATTCCTCCAGCTGAGCATCCGGAGACTATTACCAGTTCTGCTTTTTATAATTCATCATTTAAATCTAACAACCATGATTTAACTATTTGATCTCCTCTAAAATATAATTTTTCATTATTGTATTCTACAGGATCAGATTTATATCCTTGATGGACTAAAGATATTAAATAAGTTCTACGTGTTCCATCACAATAATTTAGGTGAATCATATTCCAGTTATAGTAATACTCATTCGCAGTTTTAGTTCTCTCAAACCATCCATGATAAAACATCTGTTAATTCAAATTTTTAGAGCTTCCTAAGATTGTCTTTGATCTAATATAAATATTAAATGTACCTGGTCAATGCTGATTTGAGTAATTGATCATATGTTTATCCTCCAATCCTCCTAAATATATAGATAAATTTTTATTTTACGATCCTCCTTAAAAGTGCAAAATATACTTCTTTGCTCCTGTCCCATATCCTTCAGCTTTATAAAATGACTTAATTTGTTAAAACAATTACAGATGGTGAGCCATCTAAGCATAAGGCTTTAGGATCGGATATATATACTAATCTAAATGCCAATATGCATTATAAAATTAGGATCAGGCAGATTTTTTTCATCAATAACTTATATTATATTAACTAGATAGATAGCCACAATATATATCAAAGGGTTTAATATTTTGTAATATGTTAAATTGTTGGTATTTTATAATACGGATTATAGATTAGTGGTTGTTTTACTCCAAAAGACCATCACTTTGTCAATTCATTTATTTCAACATTCGAATTAAATTAAAGGATACTCATTTTGGTAAATGGTTAATTTAATGTACTCATCTAAAACGTTTGTTTTAAATTGATTGATATCAACCTAACCAATTTATGTATTAATCTCAAAAAACAAGGTTGATTAATTGTTTTCAAAAAGAATTTTTACTTAAAAAGTGTTTAGTATATTTATAAACATATACTTATGTGATTCTAAAAGATTGAAATTTAGAAAAATAAGTAAAATCAACAGATTAATATCAAAGAACTATCTATAATTGAGATGTAATGATAATTTGAATTATAAATGCAAATTCTACCCTATTTTAATTATATGTTGGGTAGGACTTTTTTCAAAGAATTTTACATCAAATCTGTGAATTTTATTTTTAAGATTTATGGTCCATTTAGTTAAAAATTAAACAAAATTTGGGCTGTGTTTTATGATTTTCTTAAATTAAAAATATTATAAAACAATGGAATGAATAATTTTATTATCATATTTAAGTCTTTTAAGATGAAAAGTGTCAAATTATGGCATCCTTTTTTAGTATAATTTTGATGATTAAAAAAATAAAAGATTAATTCCTTGATAAGATAACTCCTTTAAGTATCATAAAATTAATAACCAAGTCTAAAGAAGATTATTTTTAATAATGGTCTTTGATATTTCCATTTAATCTCTCAATTTGAAATGAAAAATAAAATATAAATTATGATTAACTCATAATAATATGACGAACACTAGAATTCGTAGAGATTTGATACTCAATTTAATAAATAGAATTAGACTCTATTGAGACTACGACTATCTTAACAATAATTCAACCATACATGGAAACTATCTGGTTTCAAGATCATTGCGATAGTTCTAAAATTTATATCTGCAATTACTAAGTAAAAATTTTAAAATTCATTTAACATGCTTAATCATTAATTTTTCAAATTACTAAAGGATAGTACTGCGGATTATCACTATTATTTGTATAGAGGCTATTTTTAACAAGTTAATCCTTAATCTTATATGAGAAAAATAGATAAAACTTTCAATTTCTTACAATGTAGTTATATTCATTAAAATAGATTTTCGAAGAAATTATATAAAACGAATCCTGTAGTAATTTTTATTGGAGCCAGATGACATAATAATAATTGTATGGAATATATATTTTTTGTTGATTGTTACAATAAACGTGTTTTATGTTTCATTACGATTATCATTCATAGAAATTGCCGAGATGAATTGGGATTTAAAAGATTTCATATTTGAGTAATTACCAAGTTATTCTTTAATATTCGAAATTATTATAAAATTTAACACTTGCATTTACAGTAAAGGAGTGCTCATAAAAAACAGAAAGAGATTAATAAAGAGATATCTCAAGCGAGAATTTCTGATTGATATGCTTTTAATAATCCCATTTTTTATTGGAAGACAGTTAGATTTTTTTTATCTAGATCTAGTAATTCTACTGAAAATGATTTAAATATCCAAATTAACTTACTCATTATTTAATCGTTTAGAATTGACAAAGTTGTAAACAACTATTTTTGAGCTTGTCAAATTAATGTATAAAATCATTAATAAAAAGTTTTTTCATCTTGCTTTGTGCACATTTTTCAGCATGTATTTGGCATAAATTAGGAACCTGGGGAAATTGGGGAAATATAACTTCAGTAACCTGGCTTAAATAACAATAACTTTAAGATTCCTTGTGGATTGATAAATATATAGTATCTTTTTATTGGAGTATAGTGACAATGACAACGATTGGTTATGGGGATATCACTCCTGTAAATTTGACTGAAAGGCTATTCTGTATTATAATGACATTAATATCAACTGCAACCTTTGCTTATTCCGTCAATAGTATCGGATAAATATTTCAAGAAATGTCTAAACAATCATCTTAGTTCAAAGCCAATATGAATAGCTTAAATAAATACTTAAAAAGTTAAAAAGTATCGCCAACTTTGCAAATTAAGTTCAGAAGATATTTTGAATATTTTTGGAGTAAACCTTCTTAAGAACTAATTTAATTTCAAGATCAGATTCCTTAACAATTAAAAAATTAAATGATTGTAGAAATTAATATTAAATTGCTAAAATAATTAGATATTTTTAAGTAGTTTAGTAGCTCTATATTGAATACACTTTGTCTGTAATTCTAAGAATAACAATTATAACCTGATGAATATCTATTTAAGTCAAATTATAGAGCTGATAAATTATATATTTTTGTAAATGGTCAAATTTAATTATAAATTTTGATCAATAATAAAAAAAGTCTTATTGAAAAAATAAAAACTCCTTGTTTGGTTGGCTAGTTGAATTTTTTTCTTAATACTGAATATAATTTTGAGGCTATTGCAACTAAAAATACAAAGATATTAACAATTGATCGAGAATCTTTGATTGCAATTGTGAAATAGAGTGATATTGATTATGTATAATATTATGTAACTAAAAGGAAATTTATAAAAACTTTGAAGATGATGTAAAACTATGTAATAAATATGACAAAATCTCGAATAAATGTTCAATTTGTAGTAGATCTAATCATTAAGTACTATATTGCCCATTTTTTAGAGGATGTATAAGCAAAACAAAAGTTTTGTATCATCTAAGACATAATATATTTTAACATAGATAGTTCTAATCAAGAAACAATGAATATAGAAGAATATCAACTAAATAATATCAATTTCATATCATGGAAAGTGTATTACAATATATAATGTAAAACGATGAACTCTGTAGTCTGGAAGGAATCAAAAAATGTAATTTTTGAGCTTAAACTAGAATTCCAAGCAGTCATGAAATAGTAATAATAATATGAAGAAAAACTGTTTTAAACATAATCGAATCAATTAACTAATTAAATATCTCTGTCTTAAAATATACCAATAAATTATAAATCTAATTCTTCATAATTCTAAAATCAGAATTTCTAAAAGAATAATTCTATAATCTAAAACCTCGAGGTGCTTTCAGAAAAACAAAATTAATTTGGAATTTTAAGCAAAACTTAGGATATTAGATTGATAACAACTTTGAATAATTAAAGAATTTAACCAATATTAGAAGAATCATAAAAAGCGGAAGGAAAAGACGATGGAAATAATATAACAGTTAACATCAGCCAATAATTTCCATAAATTAATAAATAAGAAAATTCAATCTTACCATCAAATGAGACAGGTAGCAATGACCCATATTGGATTCAATAAAGAAGTGAATAAAAGTGTCATTCTATGAAATGGAATTTTGAAAAACAAAGGACTGAATATGTTTGCTAGAAAAATCAACTGTAATCGTTTAAGAGTTTGCATTCTGAAAGAGAAGATTATTGTGAAAAATTTCCTAAATAATTTGGATTTAATAAACTAGTAATTGCAACATAAATGCAGAAGAAAGAGATTCAGGAATAACAGATGACAAAGAATAGTTTAAATGATTACATTTACTCAATTGAAAAGCTATAGGAAAAGATCTAAAGTCGAGCAAATAAATTAGAAGAATCACATTTTGGGGTTGAAAATTAAATGAGTCAATCTGTTAGAAATAGTACCCCTAAATCTAATATTGAGATTTCCTAGGTTAACATAAATAATGACTAATAGTAATCTTAAGAAAAAGATTTTACAAATTAATTTCTAGAAGATTTGATGATCAAAAATAAATTAAGATTTGTTGAGAAATAAGTCTCATTTTAAGAATCTAAATAAAATTAACACCTCCATTTTCCAGAATAAGAATTCAAAGCATTAGAATAGAGTATGATAACTTAATATGAAAAATTAAAGTAAAAGGAAGAACAGTTAAAGCAATAGATAGATAGACAACAAACAGTAATATCTCATAATAAGGAGTAAAGACAGTAATGATACAAAAAAAATAAAATATAGAGGATTAGGAATTAAGATAACCTCTGATGATTCATCAGATGAAGATTCTGATGGGCAAAAATTAATTAGAGGATAATATCTTGAAATTTTTAATGGTTTTGAAAGAGTTTAGGAATACCAGGGATATTATCCAAATAATAATATATCTCAAATTCTCCTTTAGGTATGTAATTATAATTATTATTTTAGTTTTAAAAAAATGAGTACAGAGAGCATAATTTTATGAAGAAGAGAAATGTAAAAAAAGATACAATCATGAATCTACTCAAGCAAGCATAGAATATGATTCGTAAAAGTTAATAATGATTTATATGATATTCTTACCTCTCTATCCTTAATTTGGATTTGAGTAATTATTATATTTTTTTGTGGTTATTAAATCAAAAATTGTTTAATTAAGTTATTTACTTTATTATCATCTTTTTTAAATAAATTACAGTATATTTTAGTGTTTAAAAAATATAATTGAAGTAAGTATTATTAGGTAAATTTGAAAGTAAAATATGTGAATATAATAATAAAGGCTCTTTGGCTATAATATGAAAGATTCAGGCAATTCAAATTTAATTTAAGTATGAATTTTATTACTTTTTAAGAATTGATAGATGACTATCTACTATCTCAATTAGCTTTATTATTTGAAAGATATTAAAATAATAACGTAAGGGAATAAGAAATGTATTATCCAATACCAATTTTCCATCTCAAACAAAACATATAAAAGGTGCTATCTTTAAACTACAAACTAAGTTATTGAAACTATCATAATAAATATTTAGTTTACTTGTAAAGATTCTTATTTAGTATGACTATACAATAATTTGAAAAGATGGGAAGGGGAAATTATTTTTGAAGTTATTCAAATTTTATAAGGCTTTGTAAATAGAAAAAAGATATAATTTTACCAATCTTGTAGCTAGAATAGTGATTCCAAAAAAAAATTATCACCATGGGGTCATAAAGAGGCAAAACTCATACAGTTTAAAGAATTTATTCTTCAGCTTACATAATATTTATTTAATTTTCTATCATTAGAGTTCAATTACTTTTTGAAATTTTCACTTTTTGGGATAAATTCTAGTTCCTAAAATTTCGCTCATTTGCCAGGATGAAAACTTTACAAAAAATTACCAAATTTGAAAAACAAATCTGCAAGAATTCCCTAAATTAATATAATCATCAGAACATTAAATGAACTTTACTAAAAAGTTAAAAAAATCATACTTAAAATATTGGCACTACTAAGTAAAATATATAGCCCAAATGAAAATTGCCTAAAAATTTAGCACTTAATTTCTTACTATGTTAATTTTTTGAAGATAAAATTTAGAGAGCTTTGTTAATATATAATTCAAATACAATTTTTGACTTCAGTTATCCATATAGAAAAAGAAACTCGAAGTCCATAGTTAAGTAGGTTGATGATAATTAGTATATAAAGATCAATATTAACAATTAATTTATAAATGTGTATCTTGACCTAGACCCCTTTTGTGACAATTATGATAAATGTTTACATTAGAGTAGTATAATAGAGAGGAAAACGATTCTAGCTTCCACTTCAAACATAAATTAAAAGAATTCAAACAATTAATGACAAAATCAAGTTACAAAAGTGAAATTTATCGCAAAGATGAGAAAGAATTAAACATAAATGTAAGGACCATTATTAATCACTAATAGAAGCAGTTTCTAAAACACTAATATAGGAAAGCACGAAAGAATTTAAATGGAAACTAAATTGAAATTGAGATTTCATTCTTTAATTCTTCAACTTTTGTTACTTTTAACAATATTTGATATATCCTATTTAATATTTCGATTAATCGAGCATCTTAATATTACGTCTTATCATATGTTTAGGAATTAAGAAAATTCAATTATATGAAAGCAAGTCAAGGAACCAAATTATTATTGAATGTTTTCATATTTGAGAGAGGTAGTCATAACTCAAATTTTAAACTGTTATCTTTAGGCAATAAATTGGTAGATAATTAATTCTCAGAATTAAGATGGCTTAAAAAGATTTTGGCTTCAATATACAAGAATGAATAAAAACCTTAAAATCAAAGAATTGAATGACCAAAGAGTTTGGCTAAACTATTATTATATATAAAAAGTGTCAAAACATAAATGAAAATTCCAGTGTTTTTATCTCTATCTAAAAGAAAAATAATTTATGTTAAAATCAGGTTTTTGGAATTTATTTTTATAATAATATTTTCTTTTTGGAATCTCAAAATAACAGATAGACCCTGCTTATTATTATAAGCACATCTTAAGAAGTTGATAAAGAAAATCTTGACCACATATCTTAAAGTTTGACTTAATTTGGAGTTAATAATTGTTTAGAGTGTTTGAGCACAATCTTTTTGTGCATAAACAACTATAATAAGATATATTAAACCATTCTAAAAAACATTAGAGAATTTGATGATTTTAAAGCTAAAACCCATGAAATGGATTTTAAATGATATTTAAAAATTTCTATAATTTATAGTTTATCCTATTTCTATTGATAAGTAGTCAGGAAATCTCAAAAAAATGCATTTGTGGACATGTTTTTAGTTAAACTTAATGCGAAAACTCCGGTTTTTGCATCTGGAAGAATGGGGTTTGCTTTTTAAACTATGGTCGAGCATACATTTCAGAGAATTAGGATGAGAGCACATGCAAAAATTTCGCCGAAGAAGATTGTAGAATATAGAAGTAATGTGGTTTTCATCTGGGAAATTGTATAAGCTTTGTTGACTGCATCGTATTCAACAAAGAGTAATGCTACCAATCTTCCTATAGATGTGTTTCTGATGGGAAAAAGTGTGTTGAAATGTTGGAATGTAACAACTACAAAACAGAGTTAGGATGTGCAAATAAGAATTAAAAGGGAGGTTACTGTTTTTGGGTTTAGGAGATGGAAAAACAATGTCGAGATGTTGCTATGTGTGAAGAACTTCCAAATTATTTAGTTAGTCATATGATGTGTAAATAAGGTCTAGATGGTTGTACTGTAAATGAATAGGGTTATGGATGTATTAAATAAAAAGAATAATGCACTAAATACATCAATGATTTTTAATGCTTTGAAAGTAATAAAAAATCATAAAACTGCTTTTGGGATTTAAAAAATAATAAATGTGTTGAGAAAGTATGCGAAAATCTACCTTTTTTTTAAGATTATGAATGTAAATCATATTTAAGTGAATGTACTTCAAATGGAGTTCATTGTATATAAAGAGGATAATGTAGCGATGCTGAGAATAGAATTGCTTGTGTTACAGATTCTTAGGGAAATAAATGTGAATATCATAAAAATTAATGTAAAATCAAAAGCTGTGAGACTGCTTCGGATTCACTTAAAAATTATCAATAATGCTAGGAGTATGACAATTTGTTAGATTGTGTTAACTCTGAAAATGGAGGATGTAAATAAAGACCTTAAACATGTGAAGGTTATTTTGGCTTAATCGACTGTTACTCAATTCAATCAGAGGATTGTATATGGTATAATAATCGCTGTGCAAAAAGGGAATGCTTTCATGCTCCACTTTATTATAGTCATTAAGATTGTAAGAAGTATGGAAATTGTATAGGCAAAGCAGGTGGTGGATGTTAATAGACGCCAGAAGTTTGTGATGAGATCTTATAAGAATAATTTTGTGAATTTGATTATAATAAATAAAGATGTTTTTGGCTAGAAGGAATATGCATATTGTTTGAATGTAGTATATTGAAATTGCCAACTTACAAAAGTCATGAAATATGTCAAGAGGCAAGTTCAAATTGTACATTTAATATAGATACCTTGGGTTGTAAAGAATATTTATGTGAAAATATCTAAGAAATCGAATTTTGCGAAATTGATTCAAAAGGGACGATATGCTCTATCAATGAAGGATGTATAGACAAAAAATGTTTAACTGCTCCACCAAATTATGATAGTAATTAATAATGCGAAGAATGGTTACCATATTGCACAGTTAATGTTTAAGAATTATCAAATTCAAAAGTATTAATTGGATGTGTTAATAAAAAAAAGGAATGCTAATTTGCCCTTAAAGAACAATGTCATTCTACGTTTTCAGGAGTTAAATGTAAATGGGATAATGTAGGTAAAAAGTGCGTTTCTCAAATTTGCACTGATGCAGATCCTAACATATTCTAAACAAATACAGATTGCAACTCATTTAAAGTGGATGAGGGTACTTGCATCATAGGAACCTCTGGCTTTGGATGTTAACTATGGTTGACAAGTTGCAATGATTTGATAAGCTAATAATAGTGTGAATTAAATCTTTAAGACGAAACCAAATGTTTTTGGACTGGTAGTTTTTGTAAAATATTAGAATGTTCTGATGCTTCTAGAATTGATTATACAAATAATATTGAATGCAATACTTGGCTTGATTATTGTATCTATAATTCTACATTAGGAGGATGCATGGATAGACCAAGCTCTGTTGCTTGTACATCCTCTCCAAATGATTTGATGTATGATACTCACATTGAATGCTAAGCATGGAATCCTAAATGCACTGTCATATCCTCTTTTAATCCAGAAGGTTGTGAATTAAAAAAGACAAAATTGCTCTGATTTACATCAGGTAAAGAAATTGCAAAACTAATTTTGCCGGTTAACATTGTTATTGGGATGATATATTACAGAAATGCAAGGGACAGAATGGTGATACAGATTGTAGCATGAGAGTTTATGGAGATCTAACACATTAGAATTGTGAAAACTTTTTATAAAAATGTACAACATGGGATATTGGTAATAGAACTTGTGTATCACTATCAAGTAAGTGTGATTATAATTTGGAATAAAAATGTGTAATCACAAAAAGTTGGTAACCCTGCAAATGGGATTTAAAAAATAGAATTTGTAAGGATGTAATCTGTAGTGATAATTTGACTGCTAAAACTGAAGCTGAATGTTTAAATTTTAGAAAATTATACTAGTGTCAATTAAAGATATAATCTAACGGGACTTTTGGGCCAGGATGTGAGGCCAGACCCACAAATTGCACTTTGATTACAAATCCTGTAATATGTAAATTAACTTTAACGCTCTCAAATGAAAAATGCTATTTTTTTAATTCTAAATGTTAGTCTGTACCATCTCAATAGTGTGAAGTTATTCAAGATAGTAAAAGCAATGAGGTTTGTTAATTATATAATCCCTACTGTGTTTTATAATCAAGTGGATAAGGATGTTACTCGATTTCAAGTTGTTCAGATTTATCGAGTAATATATGTAGGAGTGCAATAATGAAATTTAATATTAAGTGTTCATATAATGGAGTGTG